GGGTAACAAGAGTGAAACTCCGTCTCAAAAAAAAAAAAAGAAAGAAAGAAAGAGATCTGCTCTTCGGCAATAAGAAGAAAAATAAATAAATAAAATAGAGGAAGGAAGGAAGGAAGGACAGAAAGAAAGAGAAAGGGAGAGAGAGAGAGAGAGAGGAAGGAAGGAGTTAAGGAAGACTCCTATTTATTGAGACGGTGAGAGTTACATTGAGGGGAATATTGTTATTTGAAGCTGACTATTCAATGCCATGAGTTTGAAGGTCCTCCCTTGGTCATTAACATGTAAGCAGGAAATAAAGTGTGGCCCGGAACAGTCCGGGGCGTGCCTATGAGAAAGCAGGAGGAGAGGAAGCCCCAAGGAAAACGGGGTGGGGGCTGCCGCGCACGGTGGGCAGAGCCGAGATCACTGGGCGGAACGCGGCGGCTTCAAGCGGCGAGAGGGACCCACGCAGCCTCACCTGCGACCCCCGCGCGCGGCCCCCACCGCGGCCCCGCCCCTCCCTACCTCGTTTATAGGGTCCGGCCCAAGCCTCCCGCCAGAGTTTGTCCCGCGACCCACGACCATGCTGGCTGACCTCAGCGGTACCTGGACCCTGCTCAGCAGCGACAACTTCGAGGGCTACATGCTGGCCCTAGGTAGGGCGGAGGGGAGGCGGCGGGGCCGCGGGGCTCGCGGGGGTCTTGGGGTCGGGCCAAAGGCTGCTGGGCCTGTCTGTCCGTCCGCTATCCGTGCGTCCGCCCCGCTGCGCCCACAGTCGCCCAGGCGCCCCCGAGTCCGCAGGTTCTGGGCGCCTCCGTCCATCGACCCCGGATCCCGTCCTTCCGTGTCCCCGTCCGTTCTTCCCCACGTCCACCCGTCCCCCTGTCCCCACGCCCGTCTCTCTGCACCCCCGGTCTCCCCGGAACCGCCCCCCTGCTCACCGTCCCCGCGTCCAGCCCCTCGTCGGTGTTTACCCACCTGCTGCCGCCAAACGGAGACTGCGAACTGGGGATCAGGCCGGGGAGGAGGCCCCCGAGCCCAAAGCCCCTGCCCGGCGACCCTCCCCGCAGCCGCCTTTCGCGCGGGCCCCGGGATCCCGGGGGCGCCTTGGCTCTGGCGGCGAAGTCCCCGCAGCCTTGGCGCACCGCACCCGGAGCGGGTCGGGGACTTAGAATCCCAGCGCCAGCGGACGACCCTGCAGGTTCCGGCCCCCGCGGGAGCGCAGAGCTTGGTTTGGCCCCGGGTGTGCCCCGACCGCCGCCTTCTGCGAGGCTTGGGGACCCGCGGCATACTTGCTCCTGGGGGCCCGCGCTGTGCTTCCCGCCCTTACCAGGGTGCCAACAGTGCGCGGACTCTCGGCTCATTGCAACCTCCGCCTTCTCCACTCTCCCCACTGCTGCTTCCCGGTTCAAGTGATTCTCCTGCCTCAGCCTCCCAAATAGCTGGGATTACAGGCTCGCGCCACCGCGTCCGGCTAATTTTGTACATTGGTCAGGCCGGTCTCAAACTCCTGACCTCAGGCGATCCACCTACCTCGGGCTCCGAAAGTGCTGGGATTACAAGCGTGAGCCACCTACCCGGCCATGAGTTAGTTTTTCTTGTAGCTTTAGGAATCTGGGAAGTTGCCATGCCAACTGATCTCTGAACCCTTGACCCACAGGCAGTTTTTGTTTTCTTAACCATAGGGTCCATCTTAGTTGATAAAGGGGCATTTATTTTGGTCTTTCATATCCCAGGAGATAAGAACAGTGTTCCTCTGGGTATGGGAAAGGCAATTCTCACTTGACAGTCATCTCTTCAGAAGGAACAGCAGAGAATTCTTTCATGGCTTGCTTCAGGCAAGAGGGGCAGAAGAAGGTCTGAGGGTGACCTTCCCGCCTCTGCTATTTCCTCAAATGCCGAGTGATATGGTTTTGTTGTGTCCCCACCCAAATCTCATCTTGACTTGTAGCTCCCATAATTCTCATGCGTTGTCGGAGGAACCCGGTGGGAGATCACTGAATCATGGAAGCAGTTTTCCCCATACTATTGTGGTAGTGAATGTCTCATGAGATCTGATGGTTTTATAAGGGTTTTCCCCTTTCACTTGGCTGTCATTCTCTCTTGCCTGCCCTGTAAGACATACCTTTCACCTTCTGCCATGAGTTCGAGGCTTCCCCAGCCACGTGGAACTGTGAGTCCATTAAACCCTGAAGTGCAATGGTGCAGTCTTGGCTCACTGCAACCTCCACCTCCCAGGTTCAACTAATTCTCCTGCCTCAGCCTCCTGAGGAGCTGAGATTACAGGCATGTGCCACCATGCTTAGCTAATTTTTTGTATTTTTAGTCGAGACAGGGTTTCTACATGTTGGTCAAGCTGGTCTTGAACTCCTGACCTCAGGTGATCCACCTGCCTCAGCCTGCCAAAGTGCTGCGATTACAGGCGTAAGCCACCATGCCCATCAAACCTTTTTCTGTATAAATTACCTACTGTCAGGTATGTCTTTATCAGCGGTGTGAAAACAGACTAATACATTAAAGTGCCATGTTTTGAGGTAGCCTATCCTGAGCCCCATAAATCCAATGCAGTTTTCTGAAAACCAGCAACTTTGTTTCAACTTTAGATCTAATTTGTTAAAGTACCAAGTACTTACATCAATTTGTTAAAGTGCTAAGCACTTAGGTCACACTTATAGCACTAGAGTGGTTGTTTATATAATACTGTAATACATTTTATCTTAAGAATTAAGTGGGGGGCCAGGCACAGTGGCTCCTGCCTATAATCCCAGCACTTTGAGAGGCCAAGGCGGGTGGATCACCTGAAGTCAGGAGTTCGAGACCAGCCTGGCCAACATGGTGAACCCCTGCCTCTACTAAAGATACAAAAAATTAGCCAGACATGGTGGCACACGCCTGTAATCCCAGCTACTCAGAAGGCTGAGGTAGGAGAATCGCTTGACCCAGGAGGTGGAGGTTGCAATGAGCCGAGATTGTGCCATTGCACTCCAGCCTGGGTGATAGAGCAAGACTCCATCTTGGGGGAAAAAAAAGAATTAAGCTAGCAGATTAGGTGCGGTGGCTCACGCCTATAATCCCAGCACTTTGAGAGGTGGTGGATTACCTGAGGTCAGGGTTCAAGATGAGCATGGCCACCATAGTGAAACCTCATCTTTACTAAAAATACAAAAATTACCTGGGCATGGTGACTTATGCCTCTAGTCCCAGCTACTTGGGAGACTGAGGTATGACAATCGCTTGAACCTGGGAGGCAGAGGTTGCAGTGATCTGAGATCACACCACTGCACTCCAGCCTGAGTGACAGATTGAGACCTGGTCTCAAAAAAAAAAAGTAAATTAAAAAAAAAAAAGGAATAGAGCTAGCAATTCTGAATTTTACTAATTTACTTGAATATACAATTTATATACTTTTTCATGTACTTGTAAGGAAAATACATTCCATAAAAAATCACAAATACAGTACTTAGATCCTTAAATTGTAGGGTCTAGGAAAATAATAAGTAATCGCCTCTTTTTTATAAGTAGAAGTGAGGTGAATACCTGTTGGTAGTGATGCTAAGATTCAAATAAGTCATCAGCAAACGCACAGCGCACATCTCATGATGTTCTCCAGTTGGCATCTCATTTGAGAACAGAAAATCACTCCCTTTTATCTAAAAACTAGAACTGATCCTGCAGCTCCCACTGGGGCCCTGGTATCCCACTCTCCCAGCGTCTGCCAAACCGCAGGGAGAAGAAAGGCAACTTGTCCTTGCACAAAGAAGAAAGTTTACTTAGGTTTTTTGGGATTTTTTTGAGATAGGGTCTTGCTCTGTCACTCAGGCTGGAGTGTAGTGGTGTGATAATGGCTCACTGCAGCCTTGACTTCCTGGACTCAGATGATCCTCCCGCCTCAGCCTTCCAAGTAGCCAGGACAACAGGCGTATACCACCACACTTGGCTGATTTTTAAATTTTTTTGGCAGAGACTGTGTCTTGCTACGTTGCCCAAGCTGGTCCCAAACTCCTGGCCGCATGCGATCCTCCTTCCTCAGCCTTGCTTGGGTTTTAATAGCTGGAGGAGGTGACCTGGGATTTGGGAGTTCCTGGTGTACTCCCATAGTAGCCAAGGACACCCAGGGTGCAGTGCCTCAGGCATGGAGAAGCTGCATGTTAATGCCCACAGATATTGACCAATTTGTGCAGGTCCTCGCCTTTAGTCCCATTATGAACCCGAGAAGGTGGTGGTGTTACCAACTTGCCCCAGGTCACTGTGTAGGCTGGGATCTAGTTATTTATTTAATTCATTGAGTGATTTATTTATTTATTTATTTTTGAGGCAGAATCTTGCTTTGTAGCCCAGGCTGGAGTGCAATGGTGCAGACCTTGGCTCCCTGCAACTCCATCTCCTGGGTTTGAGCGGTTCTCCTGCCTCAGCCTCCCAAGTAGCTGGGATTACAGGCGCACACCACCCCACCTAGCTAACTTTGTATTTTCAGTAGAGACAGAGTTTCACTATGTTGGCCAGGCTGGTCTCGAACTCCTGAGCTTAGGTGACCTGCCTGCTTGGCCCCCTAAAGTGCTGGGATTACAAGCGTGAGCCACCACGCCTGGCTCAACACTGGGATTTAAAGGGATCCCCTCTTGCCTTCAACTTCACGTTACCTCAAAATTAGAAGTGGCTTTGAGATGAAAGGTTAATATGAACATCTGCAGCTTAGATAAGTGTACATTTGTGTGGGCTCCTTTGAGACCCTACCCTCAAGTGTGTATGGGTACACATTTGTAACAGCATGTACATCAGACTGCTCCCTCTCACTCACCCTACGCTCCTCAGAGTTCCCGAAACACACTGGCGCACCCTTCCTCAGTCCCTGGGCTCCCTGGATTTCTGCCTTAAACTGTTTTCCCAGAAATCTGCATGGCTTGATTCTTCACTTGTTTCAGCTTCCTGCTGAGACGTCACCTGACCATTATTTAAAATAGTGGTGTTTATTTCTAGCGAAGTAATATGCTCAAAGGCACTCAGTGCAACTGGGGATCCACACCCTGATTTTCATCTTCTTAGCATTCCATGTTTCCCTGTGGTACTCTTTTTTAAAGCTTATTCAGGATTTCTAGCTGAGCAGGGTGGCTCATTCCTGTAATCCCAGCACTTTGAGAGGCTGAGGTGGGAGGATTGCTTGAGCCTAAGAGTTTGAGACCAACCTGGACAACATAATGAGACCCTATCTCTACAAAAAAATGTTTAAAACATTTCCAGGTTGGCCAGGCACAGTGGCTCACACCTGTAATCTCAGCACTTTGGGAGGCCGAGGCAGGCGGATCACCTAAAGTCAGGAGTTTGAGACCAAACTGGCCAACATGGTGAAACCCCATCTCTACTGAAAATACAAAAATTACCTAGACGTGGTGGCATGCATCTGTAATTCCAGTTACTCGGGAGGCTGAGGAAGGAGAATCGCTTGAACCTGGGTGGCGGAGGTTGCAGTGAGCCAAGATTGCACCATTGTACTCCAGCCTGGGGAACAAGAGCGAGACTCTGTCTCCAAAACAAACAAACAAAAAATTTCCAGGCATGGTGGCATGTGCCTGTAGTCCCAGCTGTTCAAGAGGCTGAGATAGGAGAATCACTTGAGCCTGAAAAGTCGAAGCTACAGTGAGCCATGATTGCACCACTGCACTCCAGTCTGGGTGACAGAATGAGATCCTGTCTCAAAAAAAAATACATAGTAGTATATAGCTGGTGGTGCAAGCCTATAATTCCAGTTACTCAGGAGGCTGAGGCAGGAGAATTGCTTAAACCCAGGAGTGGAGGTTGCAGTGAGCTGAAATCATGCCACTGCACGCCCCTGCCAAACTATATATATATATATATATACACACATATATATGGAGAGAGAGAGAGTAGTATATACACTAATTCAGTGGTTTTTGAATTTTGTTTTCATTGTTGTTGAGAAACGGTTCAAATGCTCTCTTAATTCGAGGTGTAAATACATGAGGCAGAAAAAGGCAGTGTTGAGACTGAGGCTGGGTTGGGAGGCTTAAGCCCTGTCCCCTTGGGTTTTTTTCTTTTGGTGGCCTCTGGGGTGATTTTCAGAACGATTCCTGCCATGCCCAGCTAAAAATCCGTTACCCAAAGCACAGCTAGGCTAATTAATCTTTCCTGAAAGCTGTGCGAGCTTTTAAAAAATTATTATTTTTTTTTCACCCGCCAGCACCATGACACTTTATGTATTTTTTTATAGAGACGGGGTCTTGCTGTGTTGCTCAGGCTGGTCTGAAACTCCAGAGCTCAAACAATCCTCTTGTCTGTGTGTCCCAGAGTCCTGGGATAATGGCATCTAGCGTGTGCAAGCTTTTTTTTTTCTAATGAATAATGAGAGTATGGGTCACAGTTTACTGACTGACCCACAGTTTAGTGTTCATCATTCTAGGAGCTGCTAGCATTCCCTCCTTTGTCTTTTTTTTTTAGACAGTTGCCCAGGCTGGAGTGCAATGGCACAGTCTTGGCTCACTGCAACCTCCGCCTCCCGGGTTCAAGTGATTCTCCTTCCTCAGCCTCCCAAGTAGCTGGAATTACAGGCACGCACCACCACACCCAGCTAATTTTGTATTTTTAGTAGAGACAGGGTTTCTCCATGTTGGTCAGGCTGGTATGGAACTCCTGATCTCAGGTGATCCGCCTGCCTTTGGCCTCCCAAAGTGCTGGGATTACAGTGTGAGCCACCACACCCAGCTATGTGTGCAAGCTTTTTAATCAAGCTATGGTTGGATGGCTCCCCCAGATGTGTTTTCGGCAGCAAACAACACTGAAGTCGTACAGGAAACACTAACAATTACATGCAGTGATTTTGAGAACAGTTGCCAAATTATTCGCTTTTGCCCCTCAAGTGAATGTTCAAATATTTTTTAAAATTATTTTTGGCCGGGCGCGGTGGCTCACGCCTGTAATCCCAGCACTTTGGGAGGCTGAGGCGGGTGGATCACGAGGTCAAGAGATCGAGACCATCCTGGTCAACGTGGTGAAACCCCGTCTCTACTAAAAATACTAAACATTAGCTGGGCATGGTGGTGCGTGCCTATAATCCCAGCTACTCAGGAGGCTGAGGCAGGAGAATTGCCTGAACCCAGGAGGCGGAGGTTGCGGTGAGCCGAGATCGCGCCATTGCACTCCAGCCTGGGTAACATGAGTGAAACTCCGTCTCGAAAAAAAAAAAAAAAAAAAAAAAATTATTTTTAAGGTATCGACTTCGCCACTCGTAAGATAGCCAAGTTGCTCAAGCCACAGAAGGTGATCGAGCAGAATGGGGATTCTTTTACCATCCACACCAACAGCAGCCTAAGGAACTACTTCGTGAAATTTAAAGTTGGAGAAGAATTCGATGAAGATAACAAAGGCCTGGACAACAGAAAATGCAAGGTAAAATTTAAAGCAATGCTGGGTGTGGTGGCTTACGTCTGTAATCTCAACACTTTGGGAGGCTAAGGCGGGCGGATCACCTGAGGTTGGGAGTTTGAGATCAGCCTGGGCAACATGGCAAAATCTTGTCTTTACAAAAAATACAAAAATTAGGCAGGCATGATGGCAGGGGCCTGTAATCCCAGCTACTTGGGAGGCTGAGGCAGGGGAATCCCTTGAACCTGGGAGGTGGAGGTTGCAGTGAACCAAGATCGTGCCACTGCACTCCAGCCTGGGTAACAGAGTGGGACTCTGTCTAAAAAAAAAAAAAAAAAGCAACAAGTAGGCGAACTTGGCATTCTCCTTGGTAACAGTTGAGGATCCTGCCAGAGCAGGATAGCCAGTATTTTCTCCTCTCTTCATGCAGAGCTTGGTTATCTGGGACAATGACAGACTCACCTGTGTCCAGAAGGGAGAAAAGAAGAACAGAGGCTGGACGCATTGGATCGAAGGGGACAAACTCTACCTGGTATTTGCCACATTTTGTTCTTATTTTTAATGAGATGATACAGTATTAGAGGAAATGTCAGGCCAAGCATGGTGGCTCATGCTGTAATCCCAAAACTTTAGGAGGCTAAGATGGGTGAATCACTTGAGGTCAGGAAATTGAGACCAGCCTGGCCAACATGGTGAAACCCCATCTCTGCTAAAAATACAAAAATTAGCCTGGTGAAACAGCCAAATATTCTGACAGAGGCAAGAAGATAGCATACAAATAGTCATGGAACAATTTTTACCTATTACATCTAATAGCTACTTTAGATACATGATAGATAGATATAGATAGACAGGCATAGACAGGCATAGTAGCTGACGTCTTCAGAGTGATGAGTTTGGGCCCAATTACTGTGCTCAATCCTTTAAGTGCATTATCTCATTTAATCTTCATCATAAGCCTGTGAAAAGGACACTTTTTCCCACTCACAAATAAAGAAATTGGGATTTTGAAATTCCCCAAGGCTGCTGTCAAAAGGATCAAAATCCAGTTTAAAAGGGTTTATTCAGACTGGGCACAGTGGCTCATGCCTGTAATCCCAGCTCTTTGGGAGGCCAAGGCACGTGGATCACTTGAGGTCATGAGTTCAAGACCAGCCTGACCAACATGGTGAAACCCCATCTGTACTATTAATAAAAATACAAAACTAGCTGGGCGTGGTGGTGCATGCCCGTAATACCAACTACTCAGGAGGCTGAGGCAGGAGAATTGCTTGAACCAGGGAGTAGGAAGTTACAGTGAGCTAAAATCGCACCACTGCACTCCAGCCTGGCAATAGAGAGAGGCTCTGTCTCAAAAAAAAAAAAAAGGCGGGCAGGAGTTTATTCAAGCAAGAAGCTGAGGACAGTCATCCAGGAAATACAGACTCCAAAGGAATGGGGTCAGTACACCCAAACTGAAAAGTTAATGTCTTCCTTTTTTTCTTTTGAGACAGAATCTCTCCGTCACCCAATGTCACCTGGGCTAGAGTGCAGTGGCATGATCTCAGCTCACTGTAACCTCTGCCTCCCTGGTTCAAGCGATTCTCCCACCTCAGCCTCCTGAGTAACTGGGGTTACAGGTACCTGCCACCACACCCAGCTAATTTTTGTATTTTTAGAAGAGACAGGGTTTCACCTTCTTGGCCAGACTGTTCTCAAACTTCTGGCCTCAAATGATCAGCCCACCTAGGCCTCCCAAAGTGCTGGGATTACAGGCTTGGCCATTTGTAATAAAAATTTAATTTCTTGGAATATGACTCTCGAAGTTTTTCTTTTTCTTTCTTTTTCATTTTCTTCTTTTACTTTTAAGCTGTTGGACTTGAGGTGTTTTTCTTTAATGGCTTTATTGAGGTATAATTTATGTACCATAAAATACACCTATTACAAGTATACAGTTTGATAATTTCTAGTAAATGTATACAGGTGTACAACCATTCCCACATCCAGCTTCAGAACAAGTCAATTACTCTGAAACGTTCCCCCGAGGCCATGCGCTGACAACTATTATTTTATAGCCTTTTCTTTGCTCTTTGTTTTTGATTTTTTGTTTTGTTTTGTTTTTTAGAAGGAGTCTCGCCCTGTCGCCTAGGCTGGAGTGCAGTGGCGCCATCTCAGCTCACTGCAAACTCCACCTCCTGGGTTCAAGCAATTCTCCTGTCTCAGCCTCCTGAGTAGCTGGGACTACAGGAGAATGCTATGATGAACAGCTAATTTTTGTATTTTTAGTAGAGACAGGGTTTCATCATATTGGTCAGGCTGGTCTCGAACTCCTGACCTCAGGTGATCCACCCACCTCGGCCTCCGAAAGTGCTGGGATTATAAGCATGAGCCTGTAATGTTTTTACGCTTGGCCTGCTTTTGTTTTTGTTTTTGAGACAGAGTCTCTCTGTCACCCAGGCTGGAGTGCAGTGGTGCAATCTTGGCTCACTGCAACCTCCACCTCCTGGGTTCAAGGGATTCTCCTGCCTCAGCCTCCCAGGTAGCTGGGATTACAGGTGCCTGCCACCAAACCCAGCTAATTTTTGGATTTTTAGTAGAGACAGGGTTTTGCCATGTTGGTAGGCTGGTCTCGAATTCCTGACCTCAGGTGATCCGCCCGCCTCAGCCTCCTAAAGTGCTGGGATTACAGGCATGAGCCACTGTGCCCCACCAAGGTCTTACTTATGTTGACAAAAAACAAAGAAATTTTGCAGGATTACAACATTTTCTCTACAAAGCTGTTTTATGAGTTACAGCAATTTGATTAGTTACAACTTAGTTTTTTCCTTTTTCTTTCCCGTTTAAAGAGCATATTTAACATTCTTTATTTTTTTATTTTTATTTTTTTTAATATATATTTTTTATAAAGATAGGGTTTCACCATGTTGGTCAGGCTGGTCTTGAACTCCCGACCTCAGGTGATCTGCCCGCCTTGGCCTCCAAAGTGCTTGGATTACAGGCGTGAGCCACCACGCCTGGCCTTTATTTTCTTTTTCTTCCCCCTCATTCTTGCTGTCATCTCAAGAATATATTTAACATTCCATCTTAGACAATGTGACAGCCATAGGTTTTCGTATAAGAGAAGGAAGAGGTTCACTTGCTTTGGGAAAAAAAAAAGAAGGAACAGGGAAGTGAATCTATAATTAAGATCAACAATGGAGGGGAGTCTTCTCTGGTACCCTTTAGTTTTTTTTTTTTTTTTTTTTTTT